ACACATCTGTGTCGATAGTGCGTTGAACATGGGACTTAAGGTTCTCAAGTGTTGTTGGCACTGAATGTTGTAGGGGTGATTTTGTGGAATCTTGGTGGGGGAATCAAACATCGATTTGTGGAAACGTGAAGGGTAGGGTAAATTAGATTAGCCCATGGAAGAAACTTAGAAAAGATGATTTGACCAAAGGCAAAAAGAAGGAGAAGAAGAAGAAAGAGAAGACAATATCGAATTTGGTGTTTAATTACTAACTATTCAATACAAGGTGCGATAAACAGGAAATGGGGACAAGTTCAAACATGTTTGGTGGGAAAAAGCAAATTTAATGAAGCTGTTTGAAGGGAAAAGCATGATGAAATGTTTGGTGTGAAAGCGATACTCCTCAGCATACGGCATCATTAGCCAAGCATGAAAAGAATTCACAAACTCCCCAAAAAAAAAATCAGAATTGAATCTCACTCACAGCATGATGTAGGCGCCAACCAACCAACCCATTTTGCCTGCATCCAATATAACCCCACGTATTAGTGCATTGCTTCTCTTCCCAAATGCCACTCACTAGTCATCAATTTCAGCCACACCACACATATATACTCACCACTTTTTTTTTTTTTTTTTACCTTGGAGATTTAATTAATGCATTTATTATTAAAAGGACAGACTCATTTAATTTGATACTTTCCCATTTGATAAAGGAAAATGGAAATATATGAGGTTTTTTTTCCCTATGTAAGCATAAAAATTAAGTAGGGCCCAATAATATTTTAATAAAGATATTGAGGACAGGTGGCAGATTCTTTCTAACTAAGTTTCTTTGAATTTCTAACAACTCTTTTTATCGACAAGAACCATTACCACTAACATCAACTTGAATTTGTTGAAATAGAGATTACTTTGTTTTTGAAAATTAGAACTCGTGTTTCTTGAGAATTATGTCCCGTTAATAGCAAAAATTCTTTCTCTCAAGATACTAAGAACAAAAAGTATGTAGATCTCCTCTAAGTTAATTATGACATACCACTTTCAATTCTTAAACAATAAGATTAACTATATCACACACGCCAATAATAATAAAGATTATCTTCTCTAAGATACCATGTTGGGTAGGACAGATGACAAGTTCTCTCTAACTAAGTTTTTTTGAATTCCTAACAACTCACTTTAACGACAAGAATCATTACCACTAATGTCAACTTGAGTCTGTTGAATTAGAGACTACTTTGTCTTTGAAAATTAGATCTTACATGTTTCTCGGGAATCAAGTCCCGCGAACAGTAGAAACTATTTCTCTCGGGATACTGAGAGCACAAAAAGGTATATTCCTTCTAAGTCATAACATATCACTCTCAGTTAAATTGCTACATATACATAAAAGGTTGGGATTCAAAACCAACCACTTTCTTAGATAATAATAACAACTTAAAATGAATTGAAATGCAATAGTAGATGTAGATCGGTTTGCATGCGTTTGAAAATTAGGAATTGCGTGTATCTTGGGAATTAGGCGTTGAATTGAGAGGATACTTTTTGGCTATTTGTTGGGATGGCAATTAATAATGAAGGTAATTAGGAGTGTCGTGTTGGTGCTGCCTCCAATGAAGGAAGCCGTGCTTGAAGTTCGGCCATCCCACCCCTACCAACTAGCCAACATTGTCCCTTCTTCACGTGCTTTTGTTTTCTTAATAATTAGCAATTCAAATCCTCTCTTTTCTCTTTTCTAATAATTCCATGCACGTCCCCCACATTTTTATCCTTTATGCTGGAAGAAAAAAGAGAAAGCATATCCGGGATATGTTTTTTTTCAAATCAATTAATTAAAAAAATGTTAAATTTAGTTGATGTTCTTGATCTTATAAAAGTGTCATAATCACATTTCACGATGACCATTTATTAATAAATTGCTCAAAAATTCTGCATTGGAACATTTATCACCTAAACGTACATGAAATTTATTTAAGGACTCAAATGCAACATATCTTTTTTGGCCAAAAAAAAAATGCAACATTTCTTTAACGAGTGTAATTCTTCTTTTGTTGCTTTTAAGATAAGTTGTATTTGCTCAGTTCAAGTCTTTTTTAAACCAAAAAGAAAAACTTCTTAAAAGGAGGACTTTTTAACAATTTTTCCAATCAGTCTACATTTCCTTTTTTAATATATATAGAGGCTCGTTGTGTCTATTTCTCTTCAATTGTTGCTAGCAAAGAGAATATCTAAGTTGCCATTTTTAAATTTATTCTCTGCCATTCTTCTTCTTCTGGTATATGTCACTAATCTTTACTTTCTGCTTTACTTCGTGATATGGATCCGGATCTTATGGTTTCTCAGTTCACATTCCAGAATTTACCCATTCCTTTTTCTTTCTTCTACCAGCTTCTTCAAGCAGTTCACAAAGCAACAATATCTCATCTAGTCACTGTCACTGGATTTAAATGATAAACTAATAAAAAGCAAGTTTTGATTAGATATCAATTCATACTACACGCATACTTTTGAAGAATCTTTCTCAATACGCATAATGATAGCGATGATTTAGGAAAAAAATTATAAATTTAAAAAACAAAATAGACTGAGATATTATATTTAAAACTAAAACGAGAAAATAGTATTGGAGGCGGCTTTGAAATCATGGGAAAAGATTCTAGTTTGTTAGATGTGGATAAGGATTAAGGTTGAAAATATGAACGAAGGTGTTGATGAGTATGGAAAGAGGAGGTGGATAGAGCAAGAGAAAAAGGTAAGAAAAATAAAAATAAATAAATAAATAAGTGAAAGGAATAAGAGTCAAATTCATAAAAGTCACACACATGGTTGTGGTTTGGAGATTGTCTTGGTTTAAATTCAAGGGCTCTCTAACTTTGGAGATCGATATGATTTCTATATGTTCAGAATTCCCTAGACAAATGGGGTCCCTATTATTATTATTCTTTCTTTCTTTCTTTTGTTTTCTTGGTGCATATAATGGATTTACGTTTTGATTACTACCAATTTCTGGTAATTTTATTTTTCAATCGTCTCTTCCTATTTTGATGTTTGGTAGCTCTCATTTCAATTTGGCGGTGCTTCCCAAAGTCAAGGGACATGTTGATTATAATCTTAATACAACCAAACAGTTTCTCTTTTTTATAAGTCACTTTTTTTTGAATTAAAAAGATAGATATTAACGGTGTGAGATTATAATTAGGATCAAATTTGTAGATCATCTCTGGCTCATAAGAGATCATTTATGTCACTAGACTACAAATCTTTTTGCCCATCGGTCACTTCTTCTACTTAATTCAAATTAACTACTCCCTCTTATTATAAATATAAGACTTTTTCAACCAAATCTCGTGAATTGAGGGGGAAAAAATTGTTAACAACACTAATATTTTCAACATCCATATTCCTTTTACAAATATACGCCTGTTCAGTTTTATTGGAAAAAGTGAGATAATAGGAATTTCTTTGGTCCTATTTATAAAGCATTTCCAGCATGTTTTATACAGATCAAAGAAAACTTTGAACTTTATTAACTCTCATTTAAAATTTAATGACTTTTGAACTCTATCTCTATTTAATATACATTATACCTCATATAAATAAAGTCAACACAATAATAAATAAGAGATAAAATTGTACATCCATACAAAAAATTTCTCTTAATACCCTATGTATATGATCAAAAAATACTTTCTCTCTCTGCTTTGTAAATAGGACCAGAGGAGTATAACCTATTTCCTTACCTATTTTCACATGAATAGGGCTATATTTGGTAATTTCTAATAAATATTGCATTGTAAGAAGAAAAATGAAAGACCGAAGGGAGTAATAAAATTAGCAGATCATATTAAAATTAACTCATCTTTTAAAAAATCGTTAATTAAATGTAAATATTATTGATCATCTTCATCATTACTTCTCTCCACCATAGTTGTTCAACAGTGTTCAATCCCACAAGCTATCACTTGTAATAATCCACCAAAAACAAAAAAGTTCAATCCGTCCTATGACTATAAGGGCCCTGCTCATGGTCTGGTACATACTTGTGCCCATTATTTGTTGTCTTTAATATACCTTCACATGGTTCCAACGTCATGATGTTCTTTTTTTTTATTTTTCTTTGTTGGAACTTGAGAGAATCTTGAGGTATTCAGGACCGGATGAGAAAACCGTATTCCCATGAGGACATATACCTTTTTTCGGAAAAAAAAAATGGAAGAGAAGGTTTTTTGGTTCATCGACTATTCATACCTTCAAATCTCCAGTGACTGGAAGTCCATCGATTTTGACGAAAGATGGACGAAATCAAATAATGGAAACACAATATTGGAGATTTCACAAAAAGTAACATATGTTGATCTTGCTTATCGTTGTAAGTCTCGGTAAAAACCAATTTTGAATTAGCTTTTTAAAAGTAATTTTATAGAATATAAAATAAGTACTTGAGAAAGGGTTTTAAGTGCTTATGAGTGTTTCCAAACACCAAATCAATACTTGTCTTGGTTTCATTTTTTTTTTTTGGGGTACTGGTTAGTATGGTTGGATTGATTTGGCGATGCCTTAGTCTTGACTGTTTATTTCTTAGCCTGGATTGAATTTGGTTAGTCTTGATGACTAGATGGTGTCCCATATTTCGTAGATTTGGGTCGGTGAATACCCTAAACGAACCCTCTCATAGCCGCTGGTGTTTTAAACCTTTAATCAACTTAACCCTGTTTCGGGACGGTTTTTTCGGTTTGGAAATATAGTTTTACCATTTATCCATAAAAGAACTTAATTGTTCCAGTTGGCTGAATGAACAAAGTTACACAAAAAATTTCAAGGGACATATCAGCCAGATAAGATAAAACATAATTGTACGAGAAGAGATGTTTTTTTTGGGAAGGGGGGATGTGCATGGTTATTAAAAAAAACAATTATTCACTTGACCTGATTTTACATGATAAGCTAATAGAAAAACCCAAGTTCGTTCTATATATGCAGGTAAACCCGCCACCCTAGCGTGAGAAGATGTGTAAGAGGAACTGTGTAACAGAAATTTCCATATTTAAGGGCATGCAACCCTCTGTACAAACTCGAGAGTCGACCTCTTCTAGTCAGCAATTTAGAGAGAAAAGTTTCCTGTGAGTATCATTTACACAAGCATCGCTGTCCTAAGAATGTACATTGCCTCATGATAAGGTACTTGCAAGCTCGGTTTATTGACTACCTCTCAGCGACATTATGAACAGGATGAAGAAACAAAAAGGCTTACTTGAAAACCCTCATGCAGCTTCTTTAAGACCTGACATTGTCTGTAAACCACAAGAGATGTCTTGTGAGCCACAACGACAGATCAATCAACCTTGCAACATGACTCATAATTCAGTTAAGTAAAATTTACAACTGCATGTGGATGGTTTTCTAGTATGAGATATCAATTACGGAATCATGACCTGGAAAATGTTAACTTGATTCAATGAGAAGGGGTAGAGGAACGGCAGAAGCACTTGCGGATGTGTTGACATCTGAGATTAGCAAAACAAAAGAATAAATCAGAAATAAGCAAAACATATGGGGATTCCTATAAGGAAAAATGAAAAGGAATAAAAAATGGGAACATACCTCCTGATTCATTCCGGAGCCAATCTTGAGTGCATATTAAAGCTTGTCGTACATCAGGGTTTAGTGAACTACGACTGGGATCTAGCATTCTCCCCCCAGCACTAAATGCCAATTCTGGAGCCACTGTTGACATGGGAGTCGCAAGAATGTCACGGGCCATCATTGACAAGATCGGGTATCTTGGCGTGTGAACTTTCCACCAATTCAATATGTTGAAATCAGAGTTACGAGGAAAGATTGGTTCCTCTAGATACTTGTCCAAGTCTGATGTAAGGCTCTGGCTCTGAGAAGTCTCATGAAGAAATTTGTCAAAACCTTTTAGTCTATCCCTAGTTTCATTATTTGTACTAGGTAAGCTGCTGCCTGGCAAAGCTGAGCCTTGATCAACCATCGTTGAACAGATAGAGTACGCATTGAAAAGTTCTTTGATCCCATCAGAAACTTCCTTGATACGATCCAAAGCAGTGCTGCCATAAATCTGGGAGTAGTAATATTCAACTAACTTCATTTTAAACCGGGGATCTAAAATAGCTGCTACTGCTAGAGCCAAACTGCACTTGCTCCAGTATTTATCAAATCTAGCTTTCATCTTTGAAGCGATGGAACTAAGAAAACTATCCGAACTTCTGCACCAGTCAATTAATTGGATATGTATGTCACAAATCTCAGGGAAGTAAATATTTGCAGTCGGGTTTTTGTTGCTTGAAATGATACCAGTGACTTCAACTAAAAGTTTCAAATAACCAGTGACAGAATTCGTCCATTGCCACTCTTCATCAGTAAGAGCTGATGAATAAGAGGGATCATGCTCTTGGAAGGGAGAAAATGCAGGCTTGTATTCCAGTGCATTTTCAAGCATGTGATATGTTGTGTTCCAAAGGCCAGGACAATCAAGAACTAAAGCCTTCTCAGAGTTAATTCCAGCATGCTGAGCAATCTCATTAAATTTTCCCTGTATATCTTGTGAACTTCTGATATATCTAATGCTTTCTCGGATCTTTTTTATTACTCCACGCAATGCGTCCATGGCATCATGAACAATGGAATTTAATACATGTGCTGCAGAGCGAATGTCAAGTAATTGACGAGTACTTAGAAAAGGCCTTTTCTCAGAAATTTGCTCTTTGATTCTCAAAGTGATGTCATCATCAATAGAACAGTCATCTAGCGTTATAGCAAACAGCTTACAGTCAATATCCCATTCATTAAGACATTTGATAATCACTTCTGGAAGCATGTCATCAGTATGAGAAGAATCAAGTGTGATAAAGTTCAGGATCTTCTTCTGTAATGTCCATTCCTCATCAATATAATGTGCAACTGAACACAAATATGAAGAATTTTCCATTGAAGACCACTGTTCAACAGACAAATTGATTCTTCCATGTAACTTGTTTATCAAGTCAAGAACTTTCTCTTTCTCTCTTCTGTAGATATCCATGCAGGAAATCTCTACACCACTATTGGACACAAATTCAAACATAGGTTGGAGGTTTTTCACAAAGACCTTGAACCCTATATGTTCAGCCATACCTAAGGGGTACCCATGCAATATAATCATGCGTGCAAGATCAAGTCGACTTCTCTCCTGATCAAATTTACTACTCCAGAAATTAGTGATTTCATCTTTCTTGTGTTCTTGTTCAAACTTGATGATTGCTGTTGGCTTCAGATACTCTTCTTTCCTCTGATCTTCATCAAAACTAATATTTGCGAGGCTGACGGTATTATCTTTTTTCCTTCTCTTTGCTGCAAGTAGTTGAGAAACATCGAAATTTGATCTTTTAAGACATCGCATCAAGTGATTTCTCAAATGAGTAGTACCACTGTTACTCGATCCACTAAGCTTCTTGTTACAATGCACACAAACGGCATAACAAATGTCAGCCTTCCTGACCCTTTCAAAGTGATTCCACACAACAGATGTCAGTCTCTTTGGTTTCTTAGAGCCTGAATCATTTGGTATTTCCATCACATAGGATTGCAACTGCCAAAAATCTGCTCATCATGTGGAAAATAAATTAACCTAAGAACTTGGAGTAAAATTGATAAAGCTCAATTATGAATCCAGCCAATAATACAAATAGAAAAAATCGTATTATCTCAAGAAATATAAAGCACGAAAGCATTGGAAGCAATGCAATGATATAAAACCATTGTCAGTTGTCGCCCACCCGTTAAAAATAAAAAGAGAGAGTGAAAAAGGAATGTTGAGAGGATAATAAATTTCACCAAATTGACTCAATAACACCCGTGCCTGGTCTCAACAATAAAAGCCTTCAGTACCCGGAAAATCGGGGAATGAGGGAATCTACAGAGCAGTCGGTCTGTCCCCATCACAGGAGCAATAAGTAACAGAAAACAGCCATAGCCAAATGTTCAGCAACCAACATAGAAATCTAGAAAAAAGGGCATATGCTTAAATTGGAGAAAAGACAAAACTAATATGAGGTTTGTTTTGCATTGATACGGAACACATCCCTTTCAGTAGCAAAAATTACAATCAGAAAGCAAACTGATCTAGAAGTTCTACAAACTAAGACAGACCCACGTCAAGATTTTGCAATTAGATACTTAGAACAAATTCACCCATCAAAGGATGCAATTTCCACCTATGAAGGAATCTGCAACTCCATAATCAAGCATGGGGGACACATCACTATCTAGTATACGACTAATCCATTTATCACTATGATTTTCTCAGAAAGCAATAATGTAACACAGAGTAAAAGCACGAAATGAAGGTGCTCAAGGTTACATTTTGAGGGAAAACAGAACAAAAACAGGAATTGAATGGCTTCTTACATAATACGAGCTTGTGGCGTTCGAAATTGCAGAGAGTCCGATCGGATGGTCCGGCAGAATTAGGGTTGGATTTTAAGGTATGAAAAGGAAGAAAACCCGATGCGGATAGGGGGGAATCTGGGTTAGATCCGATAGAGCTATGCGAGAACTGATTGGTGCGCTAGGCTTATTGTGGGGAGGCCGGATTGCACGGGTGGGTCAACCCGGATCTAATTATGGGTTCCGGTTTGGGCGGATGGTTAGTTGGGTTGCGTTAAGTATGATGAATTGGACCCGGCAAAGTTGGGTCAAGAGTATAACTGCCTCCCTTACTCACCGACTCCTTTGTTTTGATTGCTTTCTTTGGGCTCCCATCTCATTATTATGTCAGATATTTTTTTTTGTGGAATAAATTTATTACTCCCCACTAGTTTTAAATATAAAAAATAATTAAAAAATTGATTTTGATTTTTAATATAAGATTTCAACTCACTTTATTTTTAATATTTATTATTTTTCAAAATTAATTTATATAATTTATAAACTAATATATAATATAATGTTATGTTGAGTTATTTTGAAAAGATTAAGTTATATTTGTTATAATTAATTAATTTATTTAGCTTTCTTAAATTATTTAAATTAGTTAAGTGAGAGGTCTGAGCAGAAATTATTTTCTTTGATACGAAATTAATTAATAATATCAAAAATCAAATCATAAAATTTAACAAGACTATCACCGGGGATGGTTATTTTTTACTGCATGAATATGCTATTGTTGGACTTTCAACGGATACATGATACTCCTCCGATCCTTATTATAAGACCCCATTTGACTTTTTATTTGGTCCTAATTATAAGACCCCAATCCATTTTATCTCTTATATTTATGCATTTTTTTCCAAGATAATCCTTCTAATAATTATAGTTTTAGCCAATATACTTAATTAGTAAGGATATTTTAGGAATGACAACACTTATTTATTATAAATAACCAACTTAACTTACTTCCTTAATTTCTTCAAATAAGTCAATTGGGTCTTATAATTAGGACCGGAGGAGTATTTCTTGCTGCTAATTTGCCGCCTCTTTTGTATTCCCCTTCATAATTTGTCGTTATGGTTTTTTTTCCTTTGACCATGTTTTTTTTTTTGGTAATAAAGCTGGAAAAATCATAAAAAAATTGCGAAAATCACAAAATTACAAATAAGACATTTTGTTAAAAAATTTGTTGTCATCTCCTATTTAATTATTTTCGCGATCGGTTTTTTTGTGATTTTCCCAACAAAAGTTTAAAACTTTGAAAGCTATTCTTCAATAATTTTAAGCATATAACTAGGGGCTAATGCGATGGCAAAATAAAAAGAACACTATGGGCTAGCCGTTTGGAAGGGGAATAAAAGAATATTAGCTCGTATTCTAAATAAAATTTGAGATGGATGACATTATTTATGATTTACAAATATAATATTACTTCTTATAAGTCATAAATTTTACATTAGTCCCTGTTATATGTGTAGTTTCTATCCATGTCATTTTCTTTTGCCAGCAGTTATCTATGCTGTAAACGGGACCAAAGCCAGATATATATGGTTCAGCTGCGGAAAACTGGCCACATCAGGCACACGGCATATATTTATTTAGTATGGTCAGAGATAGAAAGAGGCCGCAAATTCCAATACTTTTATATTCATATCTTTTTTTTGGTAATATAAAAATTTGAATATATACTTAAAATAAAAAGGTTACATCTAATGGGAGGACTGGTTTATCACATTTCACAACCTAACAAATTAATATTCAAATTTTGATTGAAGAGTTATAACTTTATTTTATGTGTTCATAAAGAGCTAATAGTGAATTAAAATATTTAATTAAAAAATCAAAATACATTATGAGATACCAAATTTTATTATACTACCTCCGGTCATAGAATTTTTTTTGGTTAATGTAATTTTTGTTTTTTTAAGCTTGTTTTTATTTTAGTTTTGGTTCTTTAAGTTTTAAATTATAGGTTTTGATCTTTAAGTTTTATTTAATTTAAAATATTAACCCGTATAATCTAACAAAAACTTGGACTATTTTATCTATTAAGAGATCAAAATCTATGATTTAAAACTTGATGGATAAAAATTAAAATGAAAAAAAATTTAAAAGATAAAAAATCATATTAATTTTTTTTTTCACTAGCAGTTCTGGATCTTATATTCATGAGTGTTTGGATGACATAAGAAGTATTTTTGAAAAATATTTTTTCGTAAATTGAGATAAATTCTTCTATATGTTTATTTCATATGCTATAAAATCACTTTTAAAATCATTATTTCATTTCCACCGAACACTCTTTAATCTAGAACCAAAATAATCTGGGACAGGCAGTATTTTGTATAAATCATAAGGCAAATGAAAATGGTTTCCCGGCATCAACGAGCTGAGGCTGGCATGCCGAATCCAGGAATAAAAGCAGCACTTGGTTACGTCTTCCGCATTTCTCAACACCGTGCCGTTTGAGAGGGAAAGGCATAAAGCGAAAGAGAGAGATGGCGATGAGGAAATTATTGATTCTGCTAAAACCGTTCGATGTTTATGCTCCTCCCCACGGCGCCAGCCCCCAGGTAATGAATGTTCTTCCTTCTCTTCTGTTCCGAATTATTCACCAGTCTTTTGCTTTCTGACCCGCTTAGCACGCTGGGTTATTTTAGACCCAAGAGTGTTGTGTTGCGGTGTTTTCTAGGAGTTCATGGTTCTATGCTTGACTTGGCATTTGCGCTGGGCACTCAAATTGATTGATTAAATGTCTGGTTCGTATGTTAAACTGAAACGCTGAACTCCTATGCCTTTGTTGTTTGTTGGAAATAGGAGGCTTTCATTGCTTCTCCGTTAATATGAATCATGAGAATAAGAAACGGTTGGTCGTTATTTGTTCCCCCTTGATGACTCTAGTAAATCGACTCTTGTAGGAACCCCACATTGTAAGGTAAGGTTCGAGGGTTTTTAGGTAAATTCATTTGTTGAATTTTATGTTTTTTTACTGTTTAGATCCCGTTGTTAGGTTCTTCTCTAGCGTTAATGCGATGAATTGGTCTGACTTGTAAACAAGATGTTCAAGTCATGATGCCAATGGCAAAGCGAGTATCTTGGAACATTGTTTTATCGAAATTGATAAAATTAGATACTCAGAAACTTCTGAAAATAATACGCAAACACAAGGTCACTTTTCTTTTCTTTTCTTTTTTTGGGTTAAAAAAAACACAAGGGGAAAAAGCTTTGGCTTGATTTTTACCAAGAAGGCATTTCTGTATTTCTGTTCATTTGTTGTTTAGTATTGTACATGAAAAAAACAACTGTCCTAGAAGTTCTCTATTTTAGGGGGCTAGTCTTCAAGATAAGTTTTTCTTGCCTCCTGACGAAGTATCAACATTTCCTGCTCTCATTCAAGTTTCATAATGCCATCCTCTTACCTGGTAGGATTTCAATGGATAATGATTCTCAACCCCTGCAATGCAGACGTGATTGTCAATGATGTCCGTGTAAATTGAACACGTGAACCCTGTTTAACACTTATTCTATTTCTCTTGCTGCCTGGAGAGTGGATTCAATTTACGACTGAGTGTTTGCAAATTTTCTCATGTCCTTATGCAGGTTTATCTGCTATGTCTCCTAGGTTACCGGTTGCTTATTACACTCTGGTCACTGTATTTTTATTGTGGAATTGCAGATTTTACATCACTTGGATAGCAGGCGTAAGGTGCACCTTGATACCATCAAATTCTGTCAGACAATTCTACAGAAGAAGCCTGTTGAATGGAAAGCTATAGAGCGTAATGATTTATCACAGCCCATCAATGATGTGGATCTGGTTGTCACAGTTGGTGGGGATGGAACACTTTTGCAAGCTAGCCATTTCATGGATGACAGGATTCCAATTCTTGGAGTGAATTCTGATCCAACAAGAAATGATGAGGTTCAAATTCCTTATGGTCTTGGTTGTTATATTGATACATTTGTTTTAAACATTTTATTTGATTGTTTCTTGGAATATGCCAAATTCAATTTTCTATGGCACAGAAGAACAAACCTAACCGGGGGACTTTGCTACTCATATTTTATTTGCAATAGGTGGAGCGGTTCAGCAATGAGTTTGACGCTACAAGAAGCACTGGCCATCTTTGTGCCGCAACAGTTGAAAACTTTGAACAGGTAAGATGAGTTAACTGTTGGGTGGAGGCATTCTAAACAACAATCATTATTCTTTCATTATTGTGATGCCTTAATTTTGTATCAGTAAGGAATATTGAACATCATTGCATCAAAGCATTAACTAAGTTCTTTCGTTATTGTCAAAGACTATCTGTCCTCAGATATCCATCCTTCTTTTGGTCCTTGAACTACTGTAAATTTGATCTTTGTAGTGGCTTTCAACATCTCTTTCTATAACTAAGTTCTTTGTGAACCAACTACATAGCTGAGTTTGTGATGAGCATTTTCTTTCAGGTGTTAAACGGCATACTTGAGAGTCAAACTGTTCCTTCCAAGTTAAAAAGGATATCAATATCTGTTAACACGCGTCAGCTACCAACTTATGCTCTGAATGATATCTTAGTTGCACATCCATGTCCTGCCGCACTTTCTGCGTTCTCCTTCAGGTAATTGCAACCTCAGAATACCCAAACTCTTTGGTTCATTTATTTTTCTTGAGTTTCATTTTTGAGAGAGAGGGGGGGCGTTTCGATAACAATGCAATGCAGAAAAGGTGGTTAATTAAGCCTATAACTTCACAGGATCAGAAAGGATGGTCAGCCCTGTTCACCACTAGTTATCTGCAGATCAAGTGGTCTGAGAGTTTCAACTGCTGCTGGTTCCACAGCTGCAATGCACTCAGCAGGTGGATTTCTGATGCCCATTTTATCTCAGGATCTCCAGTATATGGTAAGAGAGCCTATTTCACCTGGGCCACTCTTAAACCTTATGCATGGGGTAATCAAACATGACCAAGCAATGGACATTACATGGTCTTGTAGAGAAGGTGTAATATATATTGATGGTTATCACGTCAAATATACCATTCAAGATGGGGATAAAATTGAGATTTCTTGCAGAGCGCCGATCTTGAAAGTTTTCTTGCCTAATCAGTTATTAACCTCTGCTCTGTGATCTGTCTGTGACTTAATATTGCTTCTGGGATGCATTTGAACAAACTTGAGGAAAGTTTTGCATGCATATAGTCGTCAGAATGATACCCAATTTTGTCAGAGGATTTATGAAATGGAAGAATTTGTTCACGAGCTGACATGACATTAAGTTTGTAATGCCTGATTCCTTCTGCAGGGGCTGAGGGTGTAGTCATGTACATAAACAACTTTAAGATCATACACAATTTTTTTTGGTATGTACATACAAGTTCCGTTTGTAATCATTTCGGCAGCAGGAAGTTGCGGTTTTCTTGATAACCTTGACATTTTGCAAATGAAGTGTTGATATTTGGCCTTGCTCCATTTGAAGGTTCAGGAGTTTGGTTATCCCACTTATGTTAAGGTTGAGGCAAAAAGCATAAGCCTTCAAAGCAGAACATCTGCTTTTTTCCCCCTTCTTTTCTTTTCTTTGTTTTGGGTTTACAAGAGAGAAAATAGCAAAACACAACAGACTAGATCTCATTGCTAACTTGCTATGAGCATCGGGTATTTCGACGAGGTAGGTGAAAATTGGACCCTATATTTAATTTACTAGATGCTCCGGGTTTTGAAGCACAAAGCTTTATTTATTTATTTATGCCGTCTGAAGCATAAAGCTTTAGGTGAAAGGAACAAGCAGCTGATGTGTTATTAATGCTTTGTGTAGCAGAGTAATTATAGGTGTTGGCTGGAAAGAAGAGGAGAGTAATTACGGGAACGTATGCTTGAAACGATAGGACTGTTGATAAAGCTGTACAAAACCTTTGGGGCTTGGTTCTGGACTTTGATCTTTCTTTTGGGTGAACTTCTATTTACGTAAATGCACCATCTAAAGTCTTCACAGAAACTTGATGAGTAGAAAATAATTGCTATGTATTAATCAAAGTTTTTTTTAAGAAATAAATGATCTGATCTGACAAGTTAATAACAAAATGGGTTGGTGTTGGGTCTGTGACGACTAATTAAATTAGACTGTAGACATGGTATTTTTAAAATTTTTCTTGTGGAGTTTGAATCACAAGGGGTTTCATGACTAAAATTGTGGTCCATGACCCCTAGTGTGGTACTTTCATTAAATATAGTCGGTGGAAGAATCAAAATAGAAATTCCCAAGTTGGATCTGATACAACATATCTCTTTATAACAGCTCATCTATATCAGATTTACTCCAATTTTAATTGGTTTTAATAATTTTTTAAAGCATAAAGAATACGAAATAATCTTTTATTATTACCAATTGATAAAATACATAATATTTTACCTTAGAAAAATAATATTGTCTTCCAGATAAGATTTGGACCCGGTGTAAAAGAAATGTACATGGATATACAGTAATCCTTGATAATTATTTCAGTTGGGAATTGCAATATATAACAATAAAAATTCTCCATTCTTCCGATGTCATGGTTTTAAGCAAGTGCATCTATCAGTTACAGTTCTTGTGTTTCTAAGAATCGGCTGTTCACAGAGCACGAGAATTTGAAAGGAAAAAATGTTAATGTTGAAAAGAAATGAGAAGAAATTATTCACCTTTTAAAAATACACAGCATCTCCATCGCACTCATCACTCAAATTTAGATATTATACAGCATAAAAATATCTCCAGTCTTCATTCGAGGGTAGAAAATTGAATTTTCTTAATCAGCACATGAAAAACATCTCAATCCATGGGCACATCGAATTAGATCCCAGTCTTAACCCGCTATGGCATTTTTTTTTTTAAAAAAAAAAGCAGCTCATGTGTGGATTTGTGTATGTGTTTATCTTTTTAGATAAATAAAGTAAGATAAAAAAAATAATACTCTTTCGGTTCTTAATATAGGATCTAATTATTAAGTTGATTTTGGTCCTAAATATAAGACCTATTTTTTATATTTATCATTTTTTCTAAATTACCTTTATTGATACTCTCTCAAGCATAATTAAGTAAAAGAAGAATGGAGGAAATTAAGGAAGATAATTATGGTATTTTAGAAAAAACATGTCATATTTTTTATAATTAACTAATTTACCTAACTTTGTTAATTTAATCAAATTAGTTAAATAGGTCTTATATTAAGGACTGGAGAAGTATGTTATTTTTAAATCTAATTAAATTAGGCCTTTAATTTGATCAACAAATAAGAATGATTATTACTTTTAATTTATCGAGATGCAGTATGAGATTATAAGTAGGATCAAATCTATAACATAACATCTGATCTTGCAAGGAAAAAACCTTCATGTCACTAAGTCATAAGTACAATATTAACCATGATACAAAGTGAGTTATATATGAATGATTACGCCAATCATCATCTTTTGTAGGACAAAACGACAGGACACAAGTTAATAGGTCATCGTGGTATTTTCTTTATCTTGAAAAGGAAAAAGGGAGGGGGGGGGGGCGAATAATGTGCATTTGTTTTATGAAACATGCGAGTGAAGGTATCGTGATCAGTGTGATGAAGCAAGTCGATGGAAGGTCAACATCTCCTCCCAACAAACTATTTATATCCATCGTCAACACCCACTTTAATTTGCTGGGAATCCAAAAGAAAATAAGGGACTGAATCAACTAATAAAGTGCATACAGCACATTGGTGAAAAAAGTGTAAAAATATCAGTGCAATTGTAATCCTCATCAGGCTCCATATAACGTACCAAGCCCAGAGTCTATGATTACATGACTCACTTCTGCTGACTGCTTCTGATTTTTAATGCAAGGGCTAGATTTACAAATATTAAGAAATCAATTAATGTGTATTTGTTTTCTTAAAATATTCTCTGTACACTATCAGAACGCTTTTAACATGTGCAATTAAAAAGAATACTTTTGAACAATAATTATAAATTTAAAAGATAAAATAGATTAGGACATAAACCTCTTGTCTAATTCTTATGTTTAAGATCAGACATGCTAGTTTCTTTTACAGTGTCCTTACTTCATATAGCTCACTAACCTAGAAAATACTAATTTTGATTCTTAATATAAGAGCTATTTGACATTCAATTTGATTCTAAATATAAAACTTTAATCTACTTTGTCTTTTATATTTATCTATTTTTTTCAAAATAATCTTTGTAATCATTGTATATGTTAAAAATTTCATTAAATAATAGTTCTAGCTAATAATATATACGATTAGTAAGGGTATTTTAAGAAAAAAATTATATTTATTATAAATAACTAATTTAACTAATTTTATTAATTTATTTAATTTAGTTAACTAGCTTTTATATTGTGAACAAGGAGTGAAACTGCCTCAGGAACTAATTATAAATACAAACAAGATCTTGTAAATAGGATGGGAGGTAGTACTATAACAAAGATCTCCTTTTTCAATCACTAATGCCATCGAGCATTGGCGCCTACGTGAAATGATGAGTCGAGTACTCGAGCTGGACATCTTGTGTAAATACCTAGAACGTAACGAACACACAGTTTTAAGCAATCTCTCACCTATGTACCATCATACTATAACAGAGATTAAAAAATATCGTACACATGATCAGGAAGATTCACACACACACACACACATATATGTCTACATATGAGAAAGCCAAGTTTACGTACGTACGTGCCCTTCGCCCAAGATGCTTTGGTGATTCTTCGTATGTAGTTTCTTCTCGCTATTTTGGTTTATCTCCCCCCATCTGCGGCCTCTCGTTTTCTGTTACTTATCAAAATATATGAAAATTTTGTACTGTATGTGTTTTTAAATCTTGGTCCCTCTTGTATCTAAATAGTGAATGTTGGTCACGTCCCTGTTTTGCCTTAGAAAACAGTCTTTCACATCTCTATGCGCCTGTTCTTCATGCTACAACCAAAAAAAGAAAGAATTTATCATGTATAATTGCTAATTCTATCTATCTAATGAAAGTATATGCTGTGAGTACGAACTGATGATACATAGGATTTGCAAAAAATAAAATCTCAATTTAATCCCGAAATTTTGACAGCAGTAGTTGTCGATTAAGGTATTCACTGCATGTCGTCCGTCCCCACCATTTCAAGCCTGTGCATGATACTTATCTATCCTTTTTTATTTTTTGATTGGTGAATGAGATTATGTATCTTTTGAATTCAAAATTTATTGCCCGACACCAGGAATTTGATGGAATTCCCTTGCCGCAGGGCACCCCTTGCAAATATATTTGAGAGCAGGTCAGATTTTTGTTTTTATTGATATTAAATTTTCGTACAGAAGAGGCAGAGCACACATAATGTCACTTGTCCCCACCAATTTCAACCTACACAGAAATAATTGTCCATTTTCTGAATTCAAAAGTTCCCGACACCGGAGATTTCATGAAAATTCCTATACCACCGAGCAACCTTGCTTACTAATAATATTTGAGAACAAGTTAGATTTTTTGTTTTGTTGATGTTAGTATTTTATTTGCTTACAGAGGCAGAGCGCCACCACCACCATGTCCAGATGACCAAGCCAGCAAAGGCGGTCTCCTCTTCCACGACACTACCCGTTTCTTGCCACGTGGACATTCTCCTTCTTCCGCGCAAAAAATATCCTTCCCTTTTTCTTCCTCATCGCCCACTTCTTAAACCCTCTCTTTCTCTCCCATTTTATATTGCATCTTCTGGTTCTGATTCTAACTTGGCAGACTTGTAGAGTGTTATTTAAGACGTCAGAGATGATAAAGTTTGGAACTTTTTGAATTGGGTTTGGAGGGAAGGAGAGGGAGTTCTTGAAAGCCAACAACTTTTTGGTTTTTTTTTTTTTTGTTGTGTGGGACTCATCAGTAACACGAGAGAAAGGGCTCAAGGATGAAGATTCAGTGCAGTGTGTGTGAAGCTTCGGAGGCGAAGGTTTTGTGTTGCGCCGACGACGCGGCGCTGTGTTGGGAATGTGACGAGAAGGTCCATGCCGCTAACAAGCTTGCCGGCAAGCACGAGAGAGTACCTCTTTCTTCCTCTGCCTCTCACATGCCCAAATGTGATATTTGTCAGGTATCTTCCATCTTCTTTGAAACAGTTTTCGTTTATATTATATACAGTTCCCTGAAAGAAATATGTTTTGAGGTGGAATGTTGTGTTCCGATTGTGGAATCCGTTGATAGTTTGTAATATTGTATTGGTTTTTGAATCACCTTGCTGTACTATCCTTTGAAGAACACTTGGGGTAGGATCAAAAGACAGCATGGTGCATTGTGGGATCTTTGTAGTGTTATTTTCACTTATTCTGTTAAATTTGTATTCATTGTTATGTAAAACACTTAAACTAATGCTTACTAGTAGCTGTAGCTGTTTTGGAAGCTTTCTCGTATGCTTGTATCCAAATTTGATGTGCCAAATGCGATCCTTATGTCCCTACTTGAGGGGAAAAAAGCAATAAAAATGATTAAAATATTGAATAGAAATAAGAGCATAATAGACGCTGTATCCTCTTCTTTTTGTCATTTTATTTCCTGTTACTTTTAGTCCTTCTAGGTTTCAAACAAATGTGTTCTTTAATTTAAACCACTTTGTTTTTGTAATAGATAGAGCTATCTGAAGGAAAATCAATTATATAAAGGAATTTAGTGTATTAATTCCTCCACAACTGCTATCATGGTGCACGTTGCTGGCGCTAAGTCCTTTGAGAAAAACCATGCGGTAGGATCAGAAGACATCACGTTGTCAGTGTTCATTTATCTATAATTACTTCTTTTTCTCCTTCTAGCTCTTACATTTAATGTTGGCAAGCTTGATGTGATTGGCATTCCTAATTTTTTAATTATTAAGGTTCTAGTTGTGATGGTAGACTCTGCTACTCCTAGCAGGAATCCTTTGGCTATTTCTTCTGTCTAGAGGACAGGGCTTTATTCTGCAGAAAATGTGATGTGGCAATACACACAGCAAATTCCTATGTCTCGGCTCATCAGAGGTTTCTGCTGGCTGGTATAAGAGTTGGACTTGAAGCTACTGAGCCTGGTGCTTCCTCGTCTTCTGCCAAGTCACAGTCTGAGGAGAAGATGTCAGGTACAAAATCCTCTTCTGCCTGTAGAAGGGTTTCCTCAGTACCTGAGTCATCTGAACACAACGAAGTTGTACCTTGCCAAGGGGGAGGAGATGGGCAGTTTCCACCTTCTAAGGTGTCTTATGGTGGTGGCTCAACTCCTGGAAACATATCAAATTGGTCCATGGATGAATTTTTTGGTTTAAATGAATTCAGTCAGAATTACAATTGCATGAACAATGAACCATCCAAGGTATGTTCATAGTTGTAAAATGAATCCTCTTGAACTGTTTCATTTATGCTACACCAGGTTCAAGAGTTATCTACTTCAGCAATTTCAGTTAAAATAGTTTTCCAATGAGCTTTGAGGGAATTTGGGGTTTAGGCCTTATTGTTTTAGCTCTACAGATGATAAAGTTACATGATTTTTTTCCTTTAACATCTTCTTTATTGATGAGTTTTTGCAGGCTGGCAGTGGTAAGCCTGGGGATTCTGATTCTCCTGGTTTTAAATCTGGCGAAGAGGAAATGGACGAGGACGACGACGATAATGACTGTTTGGGGCGATTTTCGGATTCATCTTGGATTGTTCCTCAGATTCCTTCCCCTCCTACAGCTTCAGGATTATATTGGCCTAAAGATACTCAATATACACCTGATAATGCTATGTTAGATCATGTTCCAGACTTGTGTTTTTCTGACTCACAACAATTCATTGGAGCTCAGAATCGTCGTATTTTATCAAGGCGACGGAGGCAACCATAAATCTCTCCACACCTCACTAAGTCACTATATGATAATAAACATGTCAGGCTTTATGATTTTTTCTTTCTTTCTTTCTTTTTTGGGTTGTCTGTGTAATGTGTAACCTGGTGATGTGAGCCTTTGAAGCATGATATGTCCTTCTTTTCAGGTATTCAAGTTGATTAGCTTCATGTTTGTTTTCAATTCATCGCTGTGTCATTTTTCTTATTGGAGCTATTCTAGCTCATCATTATCTTCATGAAGTTCATGGCTGTGCCAATTAAGATTGGTTTTGGGGCATTCTTACTTAAGTTCAAGAATCCATTATTGCAGATGCATAAGGATGGGGCTATGTCAGTGTATTTTTCACACCAAAACTCAGAAGGCATTAATATATTTTATTTGATTTCATGATTGTTTTCATGACAAGTCTATTATCTCTCCTTTCTGTGTGAACTATGAAGCACAGTGATTGCACCAAGAAGCCTAGTAAACTTCAATATTCATTTATTGGTTTAAATTTATAATACTACCTCTGGTTCTTTATGTAAAAGCTATTTAAGTAATTTGAGTAGATTAAAAAAATTAGTTAAGTTAGTGATCAGTAATAAATAGGTGGAGTTGTATTTCCTAAAATATCTTTACTAATCAAGTGTATTGGCTAGAACTATCATTATTACCAGGACTATTATGGAAAAAAATGGATAAATATAATAAACAAAGTGAATTTCAGTAATATATTTAGGATAAAAATAAAAGTTAAACAAACTCTTATATTAAAGACCAAAAGTAGTATATTAAATGAGGGTCTTCCATATAAGTAGACAACAGAAAGGGTTTTCACTTGGAAAAACAATTACATAATGATTGAGTTCGTCCAGTGAATGGAACTCAAGAAATTTGCAGAAGGCTCTGAGTAAAAGGAAAAAAGAGGAAAATTGATCATAAAAGCTTGTTTGATACAATGAGAATGAAAAAGCTTTCTCCCCTATATGTTTTTAAAGATTTCTATCAACCAAGAACAGAAATATAGTTTTCTCTCAAATATTTCATTTTATAAAACTTTTTTCCATGTAAATAACACAGCCTCGATATATAGGTTGAGAATTTCTTTGTTTTTGAAAGTAAACTTGAAAATATCTCAGAAAGATGAAATCTATGCCATATTCTATATCCGCCGACATTCAAAGTGCAGGTTCCTTTATCTGCTGTGTGCGTGTGTGTGTGTGTTTTTGGCCAAAGAAAACTCATTTCATAAAATAAAAATAAAAAGTAAAATAGGTGCTAGCCAGCTATATATAGCAGACCATTGACTTTTTGTTTCCGTGAAGCTAAATAATTCTTAAGAATAATTGGTATGAAAAGGGATGAGGAATAAGAATCTCATGTTGGCCAACAAATTTTCCTGTCAGAATGATGAGCAAGCCAATGTGTGATTTGATCACAGAATTTAAAAATCTAAGAAAAAGAATAAGATCCAAAGACGTTTGAATTTATTCTTCTTTTTTTTTTTTGGTTATAACGTTTGAATTTATTCGACTGCTACAAGAATTAGTCCTAAATCCGCCGACATTCCTAATTCAATTTCCTGCATCTGCAAAAAATAAAATACGAAGTAAAATGGGTGCTAGTTACATCAAATAATCTTAGCCAACTTGTTGCTCACATGGAGCTAAAGTCTTAAGAAATATTGATATTAAAAGGATGAGGAATTAGAACCATGTCATCCAGATTCTTGACGATCAAAATGTCGAGCAAATCGGTGATATGATACAAATTTCATAAAAATCGAAGAAAATGAATAAGACTTGAAGCGTCTCTCTGAACAAACATGATCATCTAATTATATTTAAGCACCTCTAGACAAGACGTACTACCTCCGGTCCTAATTATAAGACCTAGTTGACTTATTTGAGGAGATTAAAGAAGTAAGTTAAGTTAGTTATTTGTAATAAATAAGTGTTGTCATTCCTAAAATATCCTTGTTAATTAAATATATTGGCTAGAACTATCATTATTAGAAGGATTATCTTGGAAAAAGATGCATAAATATGAGAGATAAAATGGATTGAGGTCTTATAATTAGGACCAAACAAAAAGTCAAACGGGGTCTTATAATAAGGACCGGAGGTAGTATATAGCAGAAGAAGTAACATGTCATGAGTTCCTCATCAAAGGATTGCCATGAAAGAGAAGCCTTATAAGGCTCCAAGGTTCCTAGGTCCTGTTTGGTACGAAGCATTAGAAATGAGGGATAGGGATTAAGATTGAAAGCGTAAAACTATATTAAAAGGGTGTTTAGTATGAGTAATTATATGATATTTGAGATTAGACAGACCCATGTATATGGGATTGGAAAATACCATGAGGAGAGGTGGTATTCTCCAATCCTATCTATGTATGATTGCTTAATCCCATGTAATAAGAAATTATTTATGCTAAGTATCTTTTTAACATATGTTTTTAACTCCAATCTCAATCCTTATCTCCTATTTCTAATACTCCACACCAGACATAGCCCTAGCTAGTTCTCATAGTTAGTTTTCGAGATGAAGTTCTCCCAATGACTTTTATGTGTTCATTACAATAGTGTTTTTGTTGAGAGTCATTCAACCCAAGAAGGCCTGTACTTGAAAGAGACCTTATAAAGCCTTGGGTTTTTCAATTCTAACAGCCCCCTTTTGAGGTGTGATAGATGCTTCATAAGGTGCATTGTCATGAGTTCCATATTGAGATATTGTGTTCTCCAACTCTAATAGTCAGTTTTTAGGTGTGATTCTTTCAAGCATTTGTGTTAGGTTTACCTAATAGCATAAGACCACATGGGCTGTTCTCCTTAAAGTGGTAATATTTTTCAATCAGTCAACTTGCACGTAGAGGTAGGCATTCCATTAATTTCCAGTTCAGTTTTCGCTGATAACTGAATTAATTGAATATAGTGTATTTTAAATACTGAATTGAAACCGATTAACCAAACTAACTGAAACCAAATTAACTGAAATATTTTAGTTTGGTTAACCAATTAACCGAAATATGTAAATGTGAGAAGTGATTTTAAATTAAAAAAATAATAAAAACACAATTACAACTATTAGTTAATAAATATTTTATCATTTAATGTAATTTATTGTAATAATATTTATCATAACCATATTTATTGAATATAAATATATTTAAAGAGCTCACATATAACCATATATATATATTTATTATAATAATATTTATTAAATATAAATATATAATATATTTATTAGGGTTATTTTTGGTTTTAACTGAATTTTTTTACTAACCGAACCGAATACTGAAACTGAATTATTAAAAAATAAAAACTGAATATATAACTAAAAACCAAAATAATCGAACCGAAAAATTAAAATTGAATTCGGTTCGATTTGATTTTCGGTTATGGTTTGGTTTGGCTCACCCTTACTTACGGGTTTGGCAACAAGACATCATTAAGGCTATATCTGAAGCCCCAACTTTTGGATACCGTTTATTCTCATAATAAAAATACTGAATAATTGAGTGTCATACCCGAAATGTTACAATTGGTTTTACATCTTATCCCAATTTGTCCCAGATAATTTTGTGAAACTGCACATAATGTGTCCGGATGCATATCTTCAAACATCTATGGAACAGATTGCGTGTGTACACACGAACTTTGATGGTGCACTGTGATAGAAATAAATTTTTGCTGTACTATTAATTAGGATGGAACACTTTCATAATTCATGCGTCTATATCTACAGAGACAGTAAAATTTCTTGGATGCCATATGTAACTTCTTGACTTATCTAGGACATTGCGCTTCTATTTTCCTTCTTGATAAATGATAATGGTGCTTTAAACACCACGTATAACAGATTTTTTTTTAATATATAAACACATATATGTATTAAATCGTGCTATTTTCTCAAGACATTACAAATAGAAAACCTCATTTCTCATATTTGCACAATAAAAAATGGTCTAGGCTAAAGATTAAAATCCAAATACAACCAACTTTTGTTTTGTTGTAGTCTTCGATTTAGTATCAACTCATGCATTGCATAGAATTTAGGAAATGAGCCACCATAATAGATAACGCATGCACAAAAACTATGTATTTTTGACAAAAATCTATTTACTTTAACACACTGTAAAGTAACGACATTAATCAAATATTAGATTTTAGACACAAAGTTGGTGGATGCGGCCAACTTCTATTTTGCCAACACACAAAAAATGTGGTCGAAAATGGAACTATATGGGATAAACATTTAATGTTGTTGTCATGCATGCATGGTGAAATATCTGTCTTGTCTTCATGACCTGCGAATAGGCAATAGCAGAGGATATTGCTTTAGAACAAAGGCCTGGCCGGCAGCCATGAACAACACCCGTTACTTCACCCCCATCTGTCTCCTTCACAGTGATCAAACCCTACATGTCCTAACAGTTTCAAGTCTTTTGCTTTTCGTTCAGGAAAATTTTTCGTCTTCCAACATTAATATCCTCAACAGTAACGCTATTCACCACGAACTCCCCACATATTGTTTGTTTATTATTCTTATCCTTTCAACCAGTGGATGGGATTGGAACACGAAGGCCTGAACTGTTCATGGGGTTCTGGTGTCGTTTTCTGAGTTAAGCCGTGCGTTTGCGGGGAGACATGAACGATTGACTGGAGCAGCCATTGTTGGGAACATCATTTGTGATGGCTTTTTGGTAATAAGGTTTCGTGGCTACTTGTAATTCTGGGCCTTCCTTTGTGGGACAAAAAATCTCAGTCAAGAGGGTGCAGAAAAGTCAATTTCCAATAACAGATGGTGACACGGCATTTCTTCATGCATGGACAAGAGAGCTGTGCAAATTTTAGAATCTAAAGGACATTTTGTCAACTTGGTTAGATTCTTATTCCAAAACCACATCTTCTTCTACTCCCTCCTATCGTTAACACAAGTCCCACTTTATAGGGTAAATTACACTAAAAAGTGAGATTTATATTAAAAACTAGAGGAGTTTAGTAAAAGAATAAG